GGCTATGCAAGGAAAAAAGAAAAATACGCGCGCTTCGCGCGCGCTCTTTTCTTCTTTTTTATTAAAATTCTATTACCGTTTTAAACGCCGCGCCCTTTCCTACATCGTTGCGACCCTTACGTCCCTCGATCAGTTTGCTTCTGCTCCTTTCATGCGGGCATTGGATTTACGATTCACGTCCAGCTAAAAGGTCGGCGGCGTTGTCTCGTGCTGCTTTGCGCGTCGCCGAACGTCGCAGTCGTGACAACTACGACGATTAGTACCAGTGCAACTAGACTAGTGCTACTTTTACTACTCGTACTTCTGTTTGAACCAGAAGCCGTGCAACCGAGTGTCTTGCAGCAAAAGCAGACGGCCCAGGTGGAAGAAGTACGTGGCTCCCGGGAATGCCGAGACCTTCGGGAGGGAAATACGACGACTACTTCAAGGCAAGAGTCCTTGCTCTTTGTCTGGTTGCTCTTAAGGTTTTGTTCAGGCTTTGTGGTGGTTTGATAGGTTGTTGAGGGTTTGGGTTTGAGGCGCGCGAAGCCCTCAACCTTGATCCTTAGACCAGAAGCGTCAATTCTCGTCAGTTCTTTGGAAACCCTAAACTTTACCGACGGATCATTGTGTGGCTTTTCCTCAGTTCATTTCTGCCCTGTCCGAGGGAAGGAGACCCCGCTCCTCCGCATGGATGAAGGGCCCGACAGCTCGTGCAGCTCAGTTTCATGATTAGCCCGAGCCAGGCGGGATCTCATGATTTCCTCTTGATATTCTTGAGTTGCATACTTTGCCAGAAGTACTTGTACTAAACTCACCTTCGTTTGGAAAATTCAGAATCCAAGCAACAGTGGTCCCCTCCCAAGCCCCGGAGCTGCAGGTGTCTGGCGGTGACCTAGCTTAGCCAATCCCATCCTGATACGAACACTCGCGACAAATAAAGGCGTGTTAGCAGCAAGACCATGGATGCTGGAGGAAACCATGAAGCTGGTGATGATAGTCTGTGTGTCGCTGTGATATGGTGTTTCGATGATGACGGTTGAATGATGGTGAAGAGGCGGGTCACGATGGGCAGGATGACTATGATCATCACTACTTCTTGACCTTTTGACAGTTCATGTTCGAACAAACTCCCAATGCGTAAGCTTTAGCTTTGCCTCGTCTGGAAACCAAAGCCTGCAAGCACCGCAGCCCAGGACTGTGGGAGTTCCCGGCAGAACCTTGATCTGTGAGGGTAGGGCTGTGGCTTCCGAGAATACTTGACTTCAAAAGACGCAAGAGAGCTTCGCAAGGCTTATGGCGCCAATGATCCTGCGTGGTTAGGTGACGGTGAAGGGGCTCGTCTTTCGATACTCAAAGATATGCGACTGTGATGTTGTGCTGTTGACTGGGCAAGCTGTCCGTGCCCAGACCACGCGCGCCCGTGAGGTTTTGGACGGGATGTGAGGTTGATGGCATGCTGTAAATTTTATTCGTGCGGTTTTTGTGAGTGTGGCTCGTAATATTGAATATTTCCGAAAGCGTTGCAAGGTTTTTTTTCGTTGAGGTGCTGTTTGTAGGAATGGCTTGATGTTTGATTGTTTGATTGATAGGATGATATGAATTGAAGGATGTCATGCGGTTCTAGCACGGTTTTCATGAGGTATCGGATTCGGATGGGATGTGTGGTGTTGATGACACGCTTGACGTTTTTGTTCAATTGTCATACGGTTGGTTCCTAATAGTCAATCCTTTTGAAAGCGTTGGGAGGGGTTTTACCGTCAAGGTGCTTGTCTATAGGGTGGTTTGATGTTTGATTGATGGAATGATGTGAATTGGATGATGCCACGAGATTTTGCGCGGGTTTTAGCCTGTAACACTTGAACAACAGAAAGAGTTTTCTTGGAGACTTAAATGCATGGATGGATGAAATCGTGGATGGGTGCATATTATACAAGGAGAAATGAACACATGAAATGATTTCAGGTGTTGCGGTGTTGATTGCTTCACGGGACGCTCCTTCCGCAGTTCAAGTTCATGGAGGCCTTTACGAAGATGTGATGACCTTCCATTGAGATTGCATTGCACAGGAGGATGGCATCATCATGGCAGCAGCAAGCATTACGCAACACAGCAATATGAGCAGAAGGTTCGCAAATCGTTCGGGGAAAATCAGGGGTCAAACGCCGTGGCAGCGGAGCACATGTGCACATTCCCGTCGACGGTACGTGTTCCAAACGCCGCCAGTGATCAACCAACAAAGCGTACGCCGCTTATGCTTTGGTGCTGTTTCGGTGATTTGCTTGATGGCGTTGAAAGTTGCGATTCGGTGGGAGTTCATTACTTGTGGAATTCCAAAATGTCAGATAGATGGTCTGGAAACCACATTGGCTGAAGTCAGTGGTGCAGCTCGTTCAGATTTAAATACATCGTTGAGTGTGACCATCCGCCCATTTGGTGCAATGCAATTTGAGGATTCGCAGCTGTGATCTCAGTTTTTTGTGCAATTGCGACAAGTTTGCTACAGATTTTCTGACAACAAGCGCCGGGATGGCAGCTGTGCTTGTTTGTTGGAACGTTGCACTTATCACTGCCGCTTTTTGGCTCAGTGCTTCCTGTTCTAACTGATCATGTGGAATGGCAGGATACCATTGTTGGGCAAACTATGTTGGCCGTTGTATCAAGACATGTGTTCGGTGCCTTGTAAAGTCTGAACGCAAGCATGCAAAAACCTAAACGTTTTTTCGGGTTAGATTGTAGTAGCAATGGTTCTGCATGTTGCACACCACCACACCAATTGATGACTGAAATCATGATCTTTTTCTCCACTGTGCCCATCTGGACTTCTGTTTCAGCTAGCTTGCATGGATTAGCTGGCACCATTGAGCTTTCCCAGCATCGACGGGAGAATTCAAAGGCCCGACCTGATTCCTTTGAGCAGACTGTTCATTCAGTGTTTAATCACTTTCCCCTAGTAATTCAACCCCTCTCACCCCTCTCATCTTAAATATTGCCCGTATACTATGATATACCACAAGGGGGGCGCGGGGCTTAAAATTGGAGCCAGAGGACTAGTTTTAAAACACAGTTGAAATTTGGTTCTTGGTGTGGCCACAGGCATGCACGCGCAGCTTACAAGCGTTGGGCACGGCACTGGCCTGGAGGGAGGCTTTGCAGGCGAGCAAGGCCGTCAAGAAACAGTTTTGGCTTGACGTGCTGAATTTAAGCAGAGTCAGAAACAGCAGTATCTCGAACATGTGGATGGCAATACTTGGTGAAATTTCCCTGTTTTCGTGCGTATGGGAGCTGCCAAAGCCGGAGTTGAGATAAGCTTGTAACGATGCAGATGAATTTGTGCATGATTTTTCCACCTGGTAGCCGAGTCTCTCAAGCTGGAGTTTGCAGGCATTTCGAGAAGATGCTCTGGAAACCAATGTCATCCATTGGAACGCTCTGCTGAGTCCACAGCCTTGGTTGGAAATCCAAAGTTCGAATTTGGCCATCTTAAACACAGTCATCGCAAGGGTTTTTGGTTTATTTTTCTGAGCAGGCAGTCCTTTGCAGTTTTTGCAGGCAAGCTTGCAGCGATTGAATTTTTTGATCATGAGTCCAATTTTCGTGGAACCCGCAGAAGCCGAGGTTAGGATGCAAATTCAAAGTCGCAGAGCTGAGGTGTGTTCCAAAGGACAAAACATTGGTCTCGGTCGCTTGAGGCGCTTTTGCACAGGCCCTTGGTTGGTTGGGTTTGGAAGCCAAGTTGCCAGGTTGGTGAACGGACAGGTTTGAACGAGTCATCATGTGACCGTAGTAGTTAACGCTTGCTTCAACCCAGGTACTGTGCATCCTACAGTCAGGTTTTGTTGCCTAGCCATGGCAGATTTTGCAGCAGGATCTGCGTTGCCGTTTGTCTTTGATAATACTGCAGAAAAGCCAGCTCCTGCATGACATGCAAATCCCGGGCAGGTGCGTGCGGCAAGATTTCTTCCCTGATGTCATCTCCATCAGCACAGTTGTTGCTGCGTGTCCTCGATGGCCGATATCATTGTTCTATTTGGACTGGAGACTCAGCCATGCTGAGATCGCAGGAAGGGCTTGTTGAGTGATGAGCTGGGGGTGTCATTTTCCTCATGGATGTGGCCCTGAAAGCATGTCGCGACTACTGGAGTTCATTGGACAGCACTGCGGTAGTTTCCTGCTCACACTTCTACGGAGATGAGGAAGTTTCCTCCTTCTAAGGGCTCACTCTGCAAGGCTCCCGAGAGAGCTTTACACACTTTCGAGCCCAGGATGAAGATCAACTTCTTACGTCCCAACGTCGACTTTTTGGCAGCATGTGGCAGCATTTTATGCTTTGCAGCATTTTTTTGCTCTCAAAGCCGTCTGACGATTTTCAATACCTTTGCACTTCATTAAGGAACTAGCAAAGCTTTGGCTTAAGCGGCCTCCGTGTGGAGCAACGACGTTTGCATGCTTGAGACCATGTCAACAGAAGATGCACTAGCAGTTGCAGCAGTTGTCGCCACTACCCAGTACCAATGCAGCAGCAGCAGCCACAGCAGCCACAGCAGCAGCCACGGCGGCATCAGCAGCGGCAGCATGAGCACCAGCTGCCAAGGTCTCCATCAGTTCAGTGATGGCCGTGTCTCAGCAGGCCGGCGGATGCCTGTAGCCACAAGTCTGAGTCCAGCTTTTCAGATTTCGTTCTTCACAGGCCTGCTAGCATCCTGAATTCTGACAGTTGACAAGTTCGCAGCAGTATGAAGTAAGGGCGATGTAGTTTTGCCAGAAAGCCATAAAGGAGATTAGATGTCGAGTCTTGGGGACTTGGCACAAAAAACAGGTATTGATTTTGGAAGCAAATGGTAAGCAGCTGCTGAAGTGATTCCAGATGTTATTAGGTGCCAGAGCCTGTGGCGTCGCCCCAGCATTACAGGTTTGCATTGTTCCCGTAGCGCCATAGAGTTATGTAGTACCAAAGGTGGAACGCACACGCCCAGAGAGCTGCAAACTTGTAACGGGATCGCATTGTATGCGGAAAGCTCATCGCCATGCGAAGCTCCCAGGATGGTGCGTGGTCGATTTCAGTGGACCTGCTCCAATGCATGCAGCTTGGCGTCTCAGATGCTATGACTTAGCTGAAGGACCTAGGATTTGTCACCCAAGCAAGAGGACGTGACCAAGAATAAAGCCACCGGGTGCCGCCAGGAATCAATAGGCCTTTGCAGAAAGTGGATTCTGGGCAGTCCGGGATGTGGGTCACAGGCCAAGATTTTGCTGTCTAGGTCTAGGGCCTAGGGGCTGGTGGCATTGTAGTTTCGAAGCATCAGATGCAGATCCAACACTTGTCAGTTCTAGGCTCGAGTCAAGAACATGAGGGGAAGTGGAAGTCATATTTCCAGGAGATTTGCGAAGATCTGGTTTCTGTTTAAGAATGAGCTAAATGAATTGGTGGTATGGCTGTTGCCTGCTGAAATGTCAAGGCTTGTGAAGCACCACGTGCTGCCAAACGTGGTCTCCTTGTCCTGCACGTTGAAGGTGGGGAGGGACTTCCATCTGACTTTTGCAAGTGGCTTCACAACATCAGCATTTCAGCACAAGTTTCCAACACAACTCGGATTCACGGCACAATCGTTCTTGTTGGCCGGGCAAATGTGAGGAACTGGTGCAAAGAAAGTTGGAAACCAGGTTGGTCACCAAGCGGGGAAAACGCATCAACATGCCTTTCTACGTCTTTGCAGGCCTGTGCTTCTGCTGGTCACTGGCGGCAGGAGAGCGTTGGGTGATTTCCGGTGTAGATCAATTGCTCTTGGAGGGTTCCAAATCATGATATGGAGGCTTTTTAGAAGCAGCTTTCAGCCAGTTCAGGATGCAGTCTTGGGCAGTTTTTCTGAAATTGTAGCTAGGTTTCGTGGGCGCTGTCATCGTTTTGGTCTGTCTGGGTTTGCCCGTGTTCAGGCGCACGTGGGAGAGCGCACAACTACTATGTTATTGAAACATATTGAAACAAGAGTGCCACAATTATTGAGGCTCCCGTAATTCAGTACTGGGCTATGTAAGGACAGTTCTCTCTGTAGAGCGTAGGCCTAGGCTTGCAAGGGCATTGAGCAGTCTGACAGACTGGATGTGAAATCAGATGTGAAACAAGGCATTGCAACCGCAGGGGGGGGGGGGAATTAACGCGGCCTGCCCCACTCGCCCCACTTGCCCCCACTCG